TTTTTAAAAATTATAACAACTTGTTAATACCAACTAGTAATTCACCACAAAAATTTCCCCTTTTCAGACACATAAGAAAACATTCCTTAATATTAACGATATTTTCTCAAGATCTGATAAGAAAATTACTATTATTTCGAGAAAGAAAAAAACTTGAACTTGCATGTTTCGGCTAAAGTAATATTTAAAATAAAATTTCCCATCATTTATTAACACAACTTTGCGTGTTGAAAGTAGCTGCGACTTCAGTAATAGTATTGGAATGTCTTTAAGACAACAGCAACCAAGCAACCAACCACCTTAAGATCATAAATAGAGTTTTAGTGGGAAAAATTTTGTGTTGACTTTACTTCTGCAACCTCAAAATTAGTAATTCTAATGAGTCGGATGCAAAGCTAGTAAGTAGCTGAAAGTAACCCTCTTTTCTTATAAGATTTATTAAGAAAAAAAAAAACAATCCCCTTTGGAATAACATTTTCCCTATTTAGTTTATAGAGTTGCCAGCAAAAGAGCAAAAATTGTACAAGTCATAAACTACAGATGTCTCTTTCAAACTTTAGTGTAAAACTTACTTTCCTTAAGCTGCTATCTCTTTCTCTCATTATATGTTCTTATGGTTAAAAGACAAAAAACATTAATTATAAGAAAAAATTCTTAACTTCTTAGTTTTACTTTAACAAATAACTTTTCACACGCTAAATTATGTTGAAAAAAAAAAAACAAGTGGTAGTTTTTTTTTACATTTTTATGACAAAAAAATCACAACTGCGTGGGAATTTTATGCAAAAACAACTTTAGAATTTAAGGTAAAATATAAGAAAATAGAAAACTTTACCTTCCACCACTTACTTTTAAAATTATGTTGTGTGTCTTGCTTTGGTTTTTCTTTTAATGTAAGAATATTAATAAGTTGTTGTTTCTTTTTTTTTTGGTCTTTCTAAATTTTCATGGGAAATGAATTTGGTTGGCAGGTAACTTAAGATTTGTATCGAAATTTAACTGGAGCATTTAATGTTTTCTAACATTTTTCTGTTTTAATTCAGGCGTTTTTGCGTTGACTGCAAGCAAATAAAACGAAAGACTTAGGAAGGAAACATTTTTTGTGGCAAGCAAATGGCTGCAGAATGTTTATTGCTTAAGTCTTTTGTATTTTTTCTAAGTAGAACTGAACTAGAACTGAACTAGAACTGAACTGAACTAGAACTGAACCAGAACTGTACTAGAACTGCACTAGAACTGAACTAGAACTAAACTAGAACTGAACTAGAACTGAACTAGAACTGAACTAGAACTGAACTAGAACTGAACTAGAACTGAACTAGAACTGAACTAGAACTGAACTAGAACTGAACTAGAACTAAACTAGAACTGAAATAGAACTGAACTAGAACTGAACTAGAACTCAACTAGAATTGAACTAGAACTGAACGAGAACTGAACTAGAACTGAACTAGAAATGAACTAGAACTGAACTAGAACTGAACTAGAACTGAACTAGAACTGAACTAGAACTGAACTAGAACTGAACTAGAACTGAACTAGAACTGAGCTAGAACTGAACTAGAACTGAACTAGAACTGAACTAGAACTGAACTAGAACTGAACTAGAACTAAACTACAACTGAACTAGAACTGAACTAGAACTGAACTAGAACTGAACTAGAACTGAACTAGAACTGTACTAGAACTAAACAAGAACTGAACTAGAACTGAACTAGAACTTATATAGCAGTGAACTAGAACTGATTTAGAACTAAGCTAGAACTGAACCAGAACTGAATTACAAATGAACTAGAACTTAATTAGAACTAAACTAAAACTGAACAAGATCTAAATTAGAACTGAACTAGAACTGAACTAGAACTGAACTAAAACTGAACTAGAACTGAACTACAACTGAACTAGAACTGAACTAGAACTGAACTGGAACTGAACTAGAACTGAACTAGAACTGAACTAGAACTGAACTAGAACTGAACTAGAACTGAACTAGAACTGAACTAGAACTGAACTAGAACTGAACTAGAACTGAACTAGAACTGAACTAGAACTGAACTAGAACTTAACTAGAACTGAACTAGAACAGAATTAGAACTGAACTAGGACTGAACTAGAACTGAACTAGAATTGAACTAGAACTGAACTAGAACTGAACTAGAACTGAACTAGAACTGAACTAGAACTGAACTAGAACTGAACTAGAACTGAACTAGAACTGAACTAGAACTGAACTAGAACTGAACTAGAACTGAACTAGAACTAAACTAGAACTGAACTAGAATTGAAATAGAACTGAACTAGAACTGAACTAGAACTGAACTAGAACTGAACTAGAACTGAACTAGAACTGAACTAGATCTGAACTCGAACTGAACTTGAACTGAAATAGAACTGAAATAGATCTGAACTGGAACTGAACTAGAACTGAACTAGAACTAAACTAGAACTGAAGTAAAACTGAAGTAGAACTGAAGTAGAACGGAAGAAGAACTGAAGTAGAACTGAACTAGAACTGAACTAGAACTGAACTAGAACTAAACTAGAACTAAACTAGAACTGATCTAGAACTGAACTAGAACTGAACTAGAACTGAACTAGAACTGAACTAGAGCTGAACTAGAACTGAACTAGAACTGAACTAGAACTGAACTAGAACTGAACTAGAACCGAACTAGAACTTAACTAGAACTGAACCAGAACTGAACTAGAACCGAACTAGATCTAAACTAGTACTAAAAATAAATTAGAACTGAACTAGATCTGAACTGGATCTAAACTAGAACTAAACTAGATCTAAACTAGAACTAAACTAGAACTAAACTAGAACTGAACTAGAACTGAACTAGAACTGAACTAGAACTGAACTAGAACTGAACTAGAACTGAACTAGAACTGAACTAGAACTGAACTAGAACTGAACTAGAACTGAACTAGAACTGAACTAGAACTGAACTAGAACTGAACTAGAACTAGAACTGAACTAGAACTGAACTAGAACTGAACTAGAACTGAACTAGAACTGAACTAGAACTGAGCAGGAACTGAACTAGAACGGAACTAGAACTAAACTAGAACTGAACTAGAACTGAACTAGAACTGAACTAGAACTAAACTAGAACTGAACTAGAACTGAACTAGAACTAGAACTGAACTAGAACTGAACTAGAACTGAACTCGAACAGAACTTGAACTAAAATAGAACTGAAATAGAACTGAACTGGAACTGAACTAGAACTGAACTAGAACTGAACTAGAACTGAACTAGAACTGAACTAGAACTAGAACTGAACTAGAACTGAACTAGAACTGAACTAGAACTGAACTAGAACTGAACTAGAACTAAACTAGAACTGAACTAGAACTGAACTAGAACTAGAACTAGAACTGAACTAGAACTGAACTAGAACTGAACTCGAACAGAACTTGAACTAAAATAGAACTGAAATAGAACTGAAATAGAACTGAAATAGAACTGAACTAGAACTGAACTAGAACTGAACTCGAACAGAACTTGAACTAAAATAGAACTGAAATAGAACTGAACTGGAACTGAACTAGAAACTGAACTAGAACTGAATTAGAACTGAACTAGAACTGAACTAGAACTGAACTAGAAGTGAACTAGAACTGAACTAGAACTGAACTAGAACTGAACTAGAACTGAACTAGAACTGAACTAGAACTGAACTAGAACTAAACTAGAACTGAACTAGAACTGAAGTAGAACTGAAGTAAAACTGAACTAGAACTGAACGAAGTAGAACTGAAGAAACTGAACTAGAACTGAACTAGAACTGAACTAAAACTGAACTACAACTGAACTAGAACTGAACTAGAACTGAACTAGAACTGAACTAGAACTGAACTAGAACTGAACTAGAACTGAACTAGAACTGAACTAGAACTGAACTAGAACTGAACTAGAACTGAACTAGAACTGAACTAGAACTGAACTAGAACTGAACTAGAACTGAACTAGAACTGAACTAGAACTGAACTAAACTGAACTAGAACTGAACTAGAACTGAACTAGAACTGAACTAGAACTGAACTAGAACTGAACTAGAACTGAACTAGAACTGAACTAGAACTGAACTAGAACTGAACTGGAACTGAACTAGAACTTAACTAGAACTGAACTAGAACTGAACTAGAACAGAATTAGAACTGAACTAGGACTGAACTAGAACTGAACTAGAATTGAACTAGAACTGAACTAGAACTGAACTAGAACTGAACTAGAACTAGAACTGAACTAGAACTGAACTAGAACTGAACTAGAACTGAACTAGAACTGAACTAGAACTGAACTAGAACTGAACTAGAACTGAACTAGAACTGAACTAGAACTGAACTAGAATGAACTAGAACTGAACTAGAACTGAACTAGAACTGAACAAGAACTGAACTAGAACTGAACTCGAAAATTTTATTCAAATTGAAACTCCGTTAAAATGTTTTCTTTAAAAAATATTAAATTCTTTTTTTATTGTTTTTTTTTTTTTTTTATTACAGTATTATGTACTTAATTTTTACAATATTTTGTGTGTTTTAAGGAGTCTGTGTGTGTATGTGGTTTGTTTGTGTATTGGATTTGTTTTGTTTTTAGGGTGGAATATTTGTTTTTGATCTTATATACTTAAATATTAAATAGAATACATTATGTTAAAAACAAATTATACACTAATTTTTGTCTTTTATTTTGTTAATTGTAAATTATAACTTAATTAGAAATCTGTTTGTTTTGCTAATAAAAAAGAGAGAGTTGGTTGCAATAACTTATTATTAATAAAATATAATTTCTATAAAAACAGTATATGCAACATATAAAGTTTTATTTTTTTATATTCTTGCCGGTTTTTGCTTAATAATTTTAGGTTTTTTTTTTATTTTATAGTTTACATTAATTTTTAATATAAATTATTAAACCTAAAGAAGTGTATAAAAAAACTACTACTTAGTAGTTATTAATATATTTAATATATTTATTTTGTTTTATTTAAATATAAAATAAAATAGCAAGATTTTTGTATATAAAGAGTGTTACGAAATGTGAGTAGAGAGTTAAAAAAAGCAAAATAATAAACATTTGAAATGTTATTTACAAGTTAATAGAATTTAAAAAAAGTATACGTTTTTGCTTTAAAATAATACTAAAAAAATATATGTATATATTTTTACTTTAAAATTTAATGGAAATGACAAGATCTTTTTTATAAATTTTCTTTAAAGTTAAAAAAATCCCAAATCTGGCTAATTAAAAGGAAATCATATTCATTTAAAAAAAATTATAATAATAAATATAAATATAAAAAAATTTTACTTTGATTTGTTTTTCTCTTTTGTTATCATCATTTGTTGTTGCTGTAAAGGTTACAAACTTAATTTTAAATACCAAACAAAAATTGTAGGCAGCACTCAGGATAATCCACCCGCATGAGTATTCCATTGCACTTCTGACATTGAGGGTAAAGTTTGTTGTTGCTGCTGCTGCTGCTGCTGTTGCTGTTGATGCATATGATTAGCATTGAGTCCGCCTTGCGAACCATCACTGGGTGATCCCACATTATTGTTATTGTTGTTACTCATACTCGTTAGATTATTGTTATTAAGTCTTGTTCGCATTACATCTTCAGCTTGAGTACAGTGTGGTCTAGGTCCCGGTTCGGGTGTATAGGTAAATGTTAGGCCGGTGGCATAGATAATGCCATCGTTGCGTACTAGCGATATAGGCACTTGTGTGGGTTGACGGACCTGGGAAAGAGATACAATGTTTTGGCTCATAAGTATAAATCCCGTATAAAAACGCAACTAAAACTAAAGAAAAACTAGAAGTAGATCTAAAGTTTGAAACGAGAACGGAACTAAAAATGGACTAGAACAGAACTAGAACAGAACTGGAACAGAACTAGAACAGAACTAGAGCAGAACTAGAACATAACTAGAACAGAACTAGAACAGAACTAGAACAGAACTAGAACAGAACTAGAACAGAACTAGAACAGAACTAGAACAGAACTAGAACAGAACTAGAACAGAACTAGAACAGAACTAGAACAGAACTAGAACAGAACTAGAACAGAACTAGAACAGAACTAGAACAGAACTAGAACAGAACTAGAACAGAACTAGAACAGAACTAAACAGAACTAGAACAGAACTAGAAACAGAACTAGAACAGAACTAGAACAGAACTAGAACAGAACTAGAACAGAACTAGAACAGAACTAGAACAGAACTAGAACAGAACTGGAACGGAACTAGAACAGAACTAGAACAGAATTAGAACAGAACTAGAACAGAACTAGAACAGAACTAGAACAGAACTAGAACAGAACAAGAACAGAACTAGAACAGAACTAGAACAGAACTAGAACAGAACTAGAACAGAAATAGAACAGACCTACAAACAGAACTAGAACAGAACTAGAACAGACCTACAACAGAACTAGAACAGAACTAGAACAGAACTAGAACAGAACTAGAAACAGAACTAGAACAGAACTAGAACAGAACAAGAACAGAACTAGAACAGAACTAGAACAGAACAAGAACAGAACTAGAACAGAACTAGAACAGAACTAGAACAGAACTAGAACAGAACTAGAACAGAACTAGAACAGAACTAGAACAGAACTAGAACAGAACTAGAACAGAACTAGAACAGAACTAGAACAGAACTAGAACAGAACTAGAACAGAAACTAGAACAGAACTAGAACAGAACTAGAACAGAACTAGAACAGAACTAGAACAGAACTTGAATAGAACTAGAACAGAACTAGAACAGAACTAGAACAGAACTAGAACAGAACTAGAACAGAACTAGAACAGAACTAGAATAGAACTAGGACAGATTTAGAACAGAACTAGAACAGAACTAGAATAGAACTAGGACAGATTTAGAACAGAACTAGAACAGAACTAGAACAGAACTAGAACAGAACTAGAACAGAACTAGAACAGAACTAGAACAGAACTAGAACAGAACTAGAACAGAACTAGAACAGAACTAGAACAGAACTAGAACAGAACTAGAACAGAACTAGAACTGAACTAGAAAAGAGAAGTCTTGGAAAGCCTAACAATGTTTTTGGTTCGTTTGAATAACTATAATGCCGTTGGTTTAACTCAACCTTATCAGAAGGTTTTGAAAGAAAGAAATCATTATTTTTTACTATATCCTGTAACGAAAATTAAATTAAAGATCTTCCTTGTACTTACCCACAACCATTCACCTCTAAATTGTGATATCTCGGGTACAACACACAGCAGCGTTTCGGTGCAACGATACATGGTTTCGGCTTCCACATCACCGAACCACACCTGTAAATGGGGTGTAAAATTATCGCCACTTAATTCTAACATGGCAACATCGCCACCGCCATTGAGATTCAAAGAATTAACTATGGGTACGGGTGTAACGGGGGAACTAAAAATAAAAATCAAACAAAAATAAAATTATTAAACATTCTGCAAAAGATATTGTTTTTAAGGATATTGTTTTTTTTTTTACTTAATTCTAAAGTTAAAGTAACAAACGAATACTTACGATACTGGTCCCATGCCTTCATAAAACTGATATTCCGCCTTATCCGTTGATATAATCGTCCAACAGGCTCCATCATTAATCATCTCCTTATTTGGTTCCTTCGGACACGGCGTTGCTTGAAACTGTATGATTTTCTCTTGTGACAAACACAAATACATGCGATCAGTGTCCTTCATATAGAACGCACACTTATGCAGTTGTGAAACAGGATCATCAGCCTCTAACAAAGCCATTTGTTTGTCTACTTTGCGTATAATCAAACGTGGTAAAGCCATACCCGAAACCGAACACACCAGTTTCACCGTGGCCCCATAATGTATATAACCATCACGTACTTGAAACTCTTTCCGATTCTGATTCATTATCATCGAGCAGGTGTATGGTAAAGGCTCCCCACTGCGTCGAGGAGGCATGGAAATGACCATTCTCAACGTGCAGGTAACGGGTAGAGACAGTTTGTGAACGTAAACGATTGAAGAGTGCAACATTTGTGCCACTGGCTATACAGAGATCGGCATTTTTAAGCGACTGTTTCTTTTTTGAGGGTTTCGAGATGACTTTAATGCGTTTGGAATTGAATACCCCAATATCATGACCATTGCCATAGAACATTTTAACGGACAGCATGAAATGTTTACGTTTATCGGAATCGGATATGAAGAGTGTTTTGGCTGCACAATATTGTTTGCCATTTAGATCGAGCTGTTGCATGTCCTGATCAGCACTTCCAATGCCTATAAAGGCACATAGTTGGGCACCCTGTTCGCCTTCACCTTCTGCAGCATTTCTTCATAACGACGACGCCCAACCACTGCCAAAGAGATAAATGCACGGAGGAGGGCAGAAGAAACGTTTCTCATTACCGTAGGATTTTTGGGCGACCTGGAAAGAGAACAGAATAGTCAAACAAAAATACTAATACGAGCTAAAGTAGAACTAGAACTGAACTAGAATTGAACTAGAACTGAACTAGAACTAAACTAGAACTGAACTAGAACTGAACTAGAACTGAACTAGAACTGAACTAGAACTGAACTGGAACTGAACTAGAACTGAACTACAACTGAACTACAACTGAACTAGAACTGAACTAGAACTGAACTAGAACTGAACTAGAACTGAACTAGAACTGAACTAGAAACTGAACTAGAACTGAACTAGAACTGAACTAGAACTGAACTAGAACTGAACTGAACTAGACAACTGAACTAGAACTGAACTAGAACTGAAAATGAAAACTGAACTAGAACTGAACTAGAACTGAACTCTAGACTGAACTAACTGAAACTGAACTAGAACTGAACTAGAACTGAAACTAGAACTGAACTAGAACTGAACTAGAAACTGAAGACTAGAACTGAACTAGGAACTGAACTAGAACTGAACTAGGAACTGAACTAGAACTGAAACTAGAACTGAACTAGAACTGAACTAGAACTGAACTAGACTGAACTAGAACTGAACTAGAACTGAACTAGAACTGAACTAGAACTGAACTAGAATGAACTAGAACTGAACTAGAACTGAACTAGAACTGAACTAGAACTGAACTAGAATGAACTAGAACTGAACTAGAACTGAACTAGAACTGAACTAGAACTGAATTAGAACTGAACTAGAACTGAACTAGAACAGAACTAGAACAGAACTAGAACAAAACTAGAACAGAACTAGAACAGAACTAGAAAGAACTAGAACAGAACTAGAACAGAACTAGAACAGAACTAGAACAGAACTAGAACAGAACTAGAACTAGAACAGAACTAGAACAGAACTAGAACAGAACTAGAACAGAACTAGAACAGAACTAGAACAGAACTAGAACAGAACTAGAACAGAACTAGAACAGAACTAGAACAGAACTAGAACATGAACTAGAACAGAACTAGAACAGAACTAGAACAGAACTAGAACAGAACTAGAACAGAACTAGAACAGAACTAGAACAGAACTAGAACAGAACTAGAACAGAACTAGAACATGAACTAGAACTGAACTAGAACTGAACTAGAACTGAACTAGAACTGAACTAGAACTGAACTAGAACTGAACTAGAACTGAACTAGAACTGAACTAGAACTGAACTAGAACTGAACTAGAACTGAACTAGAACTGAACTAGAACTGAACTAGAACTGAACTAGAACTGAACTAGAACTGAACTAGAACTGAACTAGAACTGAACTAGAACTGAACTAAACTGAACTAGACTGAACTAGAACTGAACTAGAACTGAACTGGAACTGCACAAGAATTTAAACATTCATCATTAATTTTTCTAAAATATATTTCTTAAATCTCACAATTATTAAAGTCCACTTTTGTTCTACTTTATTTTTTGTGGTCTTTTCGTAAATAAATTATCGCCCCAAAATAACACCTTTACAAGCTCTACAACCAAAAACTCTCACGATGTGCTTTGAAGTGTAACAAGCGTAAGGTAAAACCCTCAAAGACCCAACAGCGGCAGCAAGAGAAAAATGCATAGAACAACAAGTAAGCAAGCACCTGATTAAAAACCTTTTAAGCATGCGCTGTATTTAACCACCAAAGTTGTTAAAACATTTTTCTATGGAAATGTACGATTCGCTTAAATAATAAATGAAGAAAAAAATATAAATCAAATCATCAAACATCTTAACCACAGAAATTTTATTCAGTTTTTCTAATTCAATTTGTCTATTTCTCAAAATTAACGACAAAATCTAGAAAAAAAATCAACAACCAGCAATAATTGCAATAATAAATTAAAAGCGTAAAAACAAACAAAAAAAAATCAACCATCAAAATTATGATTAGGAATTTAATTGTATTACAACTTTAATTAAATTTAAAAAGCACTTGTGCTGACGAGTATTACGACGACGACGATAGTGGTGATGATGATAATTTGTTTAATGCAAAAGTTATTCAGGTGTGAAGGATGTGAGTGAGAGCAAAAAAAAAATCAAACAAAACTTTAATAAAATAATAAAAAAGCAATGGTGACGTAGGCAATGTTAAGTTTGAATTTTTCAACTTTTGACCACAATGTCGAACTTTTATGGGATTTGATTTTTTTTTACTATTTTTCTTCTTAGTTTTAATTCTTTTCGCAGTTTGCATAATTAAGATAGTTTGTGTTTAGGGTTGCTTTAACCAAAAATATGCGGCAACTATTCTTTTTAGCAAAAACCAAAAGAATTTGAATAATTGACAAAACAATTTCGAAACTATAACATAATTTACATTTTAATGATTAAGTGGGGACAGAGAAGAGAACTGACAACTAAAGTAAAAATATGTTTTTATGCGGTTTAAGTTATCTTAAAGGTAAAATTATTTTGAAGCAGTGAATTATTTCTGTGAAGGAAATCTGTTTTGTTTTCAATTCAAATAAAAACATGATTATAACAGTTCGAATTTAGTTCTAGATCCGTCCTAGTTCAGTTCTGGTTCAGTTCTAGTTCAGTTCTAGTTCAGTTCTAGTTCAGTTCTAGTTCAGTTCTAGTTCAGTTCTAATTCAGTTCTAGTTCAGTTCTAGTTCAGTTCTAGTTCAGTTCTAGTTCAGTTTTAGTTCAGTTCTAGTTCAGTTCTAGTTCAGTTCTAGTTCAGTTCTAGTTCAGTTCTAGTTCAGTTCTAGTTCTAGTTCAGTTCTAGTTCAGTTCTAGTTCAGTTCTAGTTCAGTTCTAGTTCAGTTCTAGTTCAGTTCTAGTTCAGTTCTAGTTCAGTTTCTAGTTCAGTTCTAGTTCAGTTCTAGTTCAGTTCTAGTTCAGTTCTAGTTCAGTTCTAGTTCAGTTCTAGTTCAGTTCTAGTTCAGTTCTAGTTCAGTCTAGTTCAGTTCTAGTCAGTTCTAGTTCAGTTTCTAGTTCAGTTCTAGTTCAGTTCTAGTTCAGTTCTAGTTCAGTTCTAGTTCAGTTCTAGTTCAGTTCTAGTTCAGTTCTAGTTCAGTTCTAGTTCAGTTCTAGTTTCAGTTCTAGTTCAGTTTAGTTCAGTTCTAGTTCAGTTCTAGTTCCGTTCTAGTTCAGTTCTAGTTCAGTTCTAGTTTCAGTGCTAGTTCAGTTCTAGTTTCAGTTCTAGTTCAGTTCTAGTTCAGTTCTAGTTCAGTTCTAGTTCAGTTCTAGTTCAGTTCTAGTTCAGTTCTAGTTCAGTTCTAGTTCAGTTCTAGTTCAGTTCTAGTTCAGTTCTAGTTTCGTTCTAGTTCAGTTCTAGTTCAGTTCTAGTCAGTTCTAGTTCAGTTTCTAGTTCAGTTCTAGTTCAGTTCTAGTTCAGTTCTAGTTCAGTTCTAGTTCAGTTCTAGTTCAGTTCTAGTCTAGTTCAGTTCTAGTTCAGTTCTAGTTCAGTTCTAGTTCAGTTCTAGTTCAGTTCTAGTTCAGTTCTAGTTCAGTTCTAGTTCAGTTCTAGTATTTCAGTTCTAGTTCAGTTCTAGTTCAGTTCTAGTTCAGTTCTAGTTCAGTTCTAGTTCAGTTCTAGTTCAGTTCTAGTTCAGTTCTAGTTCAGTTCTAGTTCAGTTCTAGTTCAGTTCTAGTTCAGTTCTAGTTCAGTTCTAGTTCAGTTCTAGTTCAGTTCTTCAGTTCTAGTTTCAGTTCTAGTTCAGTTCTAGTTCAGTTCTAGTTCAGTTCTAGTTCAGTTCTAGTTCAGTCTAGTTCAGTTCTAGTTCAGTTCTAGTTCAGTTCTAGTTCAGTTCTATCTAGTTCAGTTCTAGTTCAGTTCTAGTTCAGTTCTAGTTCAGTTCTAGTTCAGTTCTAGTTCAGTGTCTAGTTCAGTTCTAGTTCCAGTTCTAGTTCAGTTCTAGTTCAGTTCTTAGTTTCACGTTCTAGTTCAGTTTCTAGTTCAGTTCTAGTTCAGTTCTAGTTCAGTTCTAGTTCAGTTCTCAGGTTCTAGTTCAGTCTAGTTCAGTTCTATTCAGTTCTAGTTCAGTCTAGTTCAGTTCTAGTTCATTCTAGTTCAGTTCTAGTCGTTCTTCGTTTCTAGTTCAGTTCTTAGTTCAGTTCTAGTCAGTTTAGTCAGAGTTCTTAGTTTCTAGTTCAGTTCCGTTCAGTTTTCTAGTTCAGTTCTATTTCAGTTCTAGTCAGTTCTAGTTCAGTTCTAGTTCAGTTTCTAGTTCAGTTCTAGTCAGTTCTAGTTTCAGTTCTAGTTCAGCATTCTATTCAGTTCTTGTTCAGTTCTAGTTCAGTTGCTATCTGTTCAGTTTCTAGTTCAGTTCTAGTTCAGTTCTAGTTCAGTTCTAGTTCAGTTCTAGTTCAGTTCTAGTTCAGTTTCTAGTTCAGTTCTAGTTCAGTTCTAGTTCAGTTCTAGTTCAGTTCTAGTTCAGTTCTAGTTCAGTTCTAGTTCAGTTCTAGTTCAGTTCTAGTTCAGTTCTAGTTCTAGTTCAGTTCTAGTTCAGTTCTAGTTCAGTTATGGTACTAGTCTATTTTTAGTCCAGTTCTATTAGAGTTTTAAATTAGTTCTAGTTCATTTTTCGTTCTAAGTTAAAATAATGAAGATATACGACTCATTTTTCATGACGAAAAGATTTTTCAAATAATTTTCTATATTTAATTGCTAAGGAATTTGAGTTTCCCCGTATGATCCAACTTATTTTGAAAGCAAAAACGAAATGCTTAATAATACCAAACTATTATGCTTTTCATATTTTAAGGAGCTAAATTCCTTTTCCAAAATAAAAGGATTTTAAAATATTAAAATAGCTAGATTAGGTTCCACAAGCAGTTATCGCGCAATATATACCACAGTGCAACTTGGATCCATAAGGTTGCTTTGTAGTGAAAATAGAAAATCGAAACAAATATTTCTCAAATAGGAAAATAATAAAAAATAGTTACATGGGTAATAATGTCTCTAAAATCAGGATGCACTAAGGATTTCAACAATTTCTTGATTTTCCCAACAAATTCTGATTATTTTTCTACAAAAACCTCAAAAGCTTTATTTTTATCGAAAATCTTAAGAATCTTATTAAAAACTGTCATTTAACTCACCTTTGCATGCAATATAACAATAACCATATCGTTACGTTCCCGCATATAACGTTCCATAGCATCGCGGGTTAATTTTTTCTCCTCAATATGTGAACGAAATGAGGTGGCGGAGGAGAGAGAACTGACGGAGGTATTTAGACCGGTGGACATTATGGAACCACCACCACCGCCGCCACCAGGATTGCCGCCAGTAAGACCGCGTGGCAACAGGGCCAAATGAGGATGATGTTGCTGTTGTTGTTGATGTTGCTGCTGCTGCTGTTGATGTTGTTGGTGAGCCTGCTGTAGATGATTGGGCGGACTGGGAGGCATTAAACCACCATTGCCACCACCGCCACCAACATTATGATGTAGAGGCGGACTGGGTGGGGTTTGAGCATAAGCATTATTGGCCATACCAGGACCAGAACCTAAACCAAAATGAGGCATAGGGGCGAGTTGGCTGGTGTGGGTAAAGGAAGATGAGGTGGCAGGTGATGAAGAGTTGATACTGTTGTTGTTGTTGTGATTAGGTGAAGTTAAAGGATTATAATTATCACAGTTATTGTTGCTAGTGCTGCTACTGCTGCTATTGTTGTGGGCCGGAGAATGTTGAGTTGGCTGTAAATGATAGGCAGTTGTTGCTGTTGTTGTAACGCCACAATTTGGAATGTTGGAGTTTTCAAAAAGCATATAATTTTGTGTTAAATTTAAAGTAGAATCCTGAGGATCTGTTATAAATTGCGGTTGCTTAAAACACTGCATTTAGTTAAAAATTTAACATTTTATTTAAAATTATTAAAGTTTTCTGCGGAGAATTTATTAAATACATTTTATTTATGTATTAGAGGATATTTTTACAAAAATGTTTGTTGTTTTTACTTTAAAACTTTATAAAATTGGCATTTGTTGTTTTGTGTTTAGTTAATTGGCACTTTTGTTAATAATGTATAAACAATTTGCAAGCAATTTAAAATAATAAACAATAAAATTTTAGTTAATTTCTCTTCTGTTTTTATCCTTTTTATCTGCAATTTTCTCTAATTCCCGCTTTCGTTTTGTTGGTTGAATAAAAAAAAAATAACAAAAACACGGTAAATATATTAAAAACAAGAGGAAATTATAAAAATAATAACAACAACCATTCAACACATTCTCTGCTTTGCTTTTCTATTACAACAAAAACAAAAATTCACACACAAATGTCACTTTAGCAGCTGTCATTTCTCACGCGCCGCGTATGTTAAGTTTACTTTAGGTTTTATTTAAAACTTATTTTGTTGTAGTTTTTTCTTTTAATCCTTTTAGTTTTTAATCAAAAAAAAAAGTTATTAGTTTTATTTAGTGTTGTTTTAGTTATATTCTGTGAAAATTTAAAACACCGACTGAGCTGTTTTTCACAAAACAAACCTCTTTTATTCCGCTGTAGCTTTTTTTTTAGTTTATCTCTTTTATACACTGTTTCTACTTGTTTTACGTCGTTGTTGTTTTCTTCTTCTACATATGTCGTTCATTGAAGTTGTTGTTTTATTGCTGCTTGTTCTTGTTTTGTTTTCAGCAAAGTGTCATAACAACTCTGTTATAGATATTAGTACTAAGAAAATGCAACTCTGTTTAATAGTTCAAAAATACTAAAATCATGTAAATTATAAAAAAAAAACCGTTATAATTAAGAATTTCTTGTTATATAATTGACTGAAATAATGTAAATTTATTTAAAAAAATATAGCTATGCCCAGTGTGCTTCGCTACACTCATCGTAATGGAGTAAAATAAATATTATTGCACAGTTTCTGTCTCTTTGTTTATTAATTCTGCAAATACGCCTAAACGGCTGGACGGATTTTCATAAAAGTTGTAACATAGATAGGTGTCTTTATGGATGCAATGATAGGCTATATAATTTTTCTAAAGTTGGGCCAGAAGGGGATACAAATTGGCGGAAAAGGAAAAAACCAGGTAAAAATTTATGTTTTTGTTTTATTGTGGTAAATGAAAGGACCAATTTTCTTGATATTTGGAACTTAGCTGGATTAGTCGATAGACTATACAATTTTTCAAAAATTTTACCAGAAAGGCATAAAACAATATAATAAATTACAGATTTTACTCCTTTACTTCCTAAAAAGAACGAATTTCAAAAAAAGTACCAGACAACTGACCACTTATTTTTAAAATTAACGACGATAAGTTTAAAATTTATGTTTTGTGTATAATTATTAAAAAATTGCCTATTATTTTAAAACAATTCCCAATGACACTCTTTTTTTGGGCCTTAAAAATACAACCCTGCATTTAAGCTCACTTCCTTTTACATTTCCCTTTTAACGCCTCTCTAATTGTCAGTTTTATTTTAACTCATATACCAAGCGTAAGTTTTCTATAAAATTTTAGGCGGGCTAGTGTGAAAAAATTATAAAATTGTGTTTTAATTTATTAAAAAAAGTGTTTAAATAGTAATAATTACAGCAAATAATAAAGAAATAACAAATTGTTCGTTTTATATTTTAAAACGTAATAAAAAGAAGTAAAAAGTTTACTTCTAAGCGGGCGTGAGTGAAAATTTGTTTCAATTGGCTGTAAATTAATGAAAAAAGGTTTATTTCTTTAAATATAATAAAATTTGTGTTAAAAAAGAAAAAAAAAATAAGTGTTATTAAATAAATAAGCAAAAAAAAGTAAAATTAATAAAAGAAAAGTGTGTGAAAGCAAAAATAAAAAATAAGTATTAAACGAAATAGATGAAGTGTCTCAGCTGCCACAGGTAAGTCTTTTTTGTTGTATGACTTTTTTTAAGCTAAATCTTTTTCCAAAAATCGTGCTAATAACTGTTCAGCGATTTAATAAAGATGTTTTCCGAAATACAGAGACTTAAATACATATTTCTTTATAAAATGTTATTTCAAAATTGCTTCCTTGAATACAGCATTCTGGAACTTCTTTGAAATTTAATTTGTTTGTTTTCTGCTGCCAGTTCTGACTGTTGATCTCAATCAGCTGTTAGATATGTACGTTAGGCTGGAAGACAAACAGACATTGCCTTGCTATACACACAGTAAGCAAAACCTTAACTGCTTTTTGTTTACTTTTAAGCATAAGCATTGTATTGGTCATAAAAGTATTAGAAGTGCCAGTACTCCTGTAAGTGCTACTTCAGTACTAGTTTATAATTCAGTTCAGTGCTATATCAAATCAAGAACACTTCTCGTTGATTCCAATTCCAGTTCAGTTCTAGTTCAGTGCTAGTTAAGTTTTAGTTGAGGCTCAGTTCTACTTCCTTTTTAGTTAAGTTTTTGTTCAGTGGAAGTTAGGCTCTAGTTCAATTCTGGTCCTTTCTAGTTAGATTAGAGTTCAGTTCTAGTTAGATTCTAGTTAAGTTCTAGTGCAGGCCCAGTTCTATTTAATGTTTAGTTAAGTTTTTGTTCAATTCTAGTTGAGTTCTAGTTGAATTTTAGTACTAGTTCAAGTTCTGTTCTAGTTCAGTTCTAGTCAGTTCTAGTTTAGTTCTAGTTCAGTTCTAGTTCAGTTCTAGTTCAGTTCTAGTTCAGTTCAGTTCTAGTTCAGTTCTATTCTAGTTCTAGTTAAGTTCGAGTTCTAGTTCTAGTTCAGTTCAGTTCTAGTTCAGTTCTATTCTAGTTCTAGTTCAGTTCTAGTTTAGTTCTAGTTCAGTTCTAGTTCAGTTCTAGTTCAGTTCTAGTTCAGTTCTAGTTCAGTTCTAGTTCAGTTCTAGTTCAGTTCTAGTTCAGTTCTAGTTCAGTTCTAGTTCAGTTCTAGTTCAGTTCTAGTTCAGTTCTAGTTCAGTTCTAGTTCAGTTCTAGTTCTAGTTCAGTTCTAGTTCAGTTCTAGTTCAGTTCTAGTTCAGTTATAGTTCAGTTCTAGTTCAGTTATAGTTCTAGTTCAGTTCAGTTCTAGTTCAGTTCTAGTTCAGTTCTAGTTCAGTTCTAGTTCAGTTCTAGTTCAGTTCTAGTTCAGTTCTAGTTCAGTTCTAGTTCAGTTCTAGTTCAGTTCTAGTTCAGTTCTAGTTCAGTTCTAGTTCAGTTCTAGTTCAGTTCTAGTTCAGTTCTAGTTCAGTTCTAGTTCAATTCTAGTTCTAGTTCAGTTCTATTCTAGTTCTAGTTAAGTTCGAGTTCAGTTCTAGTTTAGTTCTAGTTTAGTTTTAGTTTAGTTTTAGTTCAGTTCTAGTTCAGTTCTAGTTCAGTTCTAGTTCAGTTCTAGTTCAGTTCTAGTTCAGTTCTAGTTCAGTTCTAGTTCAGTTCTAGTTCAGTTCTAGTTCAGTTCTAGTTCAGTTCTAGTTCAGTTCTAGTTCAGTTCTAGTTCAGTTCTAGTTCAGTTCTGGTTCAGTTCTAGTTCAGTTCTAGTTCAGATCTAGTTCAGTTCTAGTTCTGTTCTAGTTCTGTTCTAGTTCTGTTCTAGTTCTGTTCTAGTTCTGTTCTAGTTCTGTTTTAGTTCAGTTCTAGTTCAGTTCAAGTTCTGTTCTAGTTCAGTTCTAGTTTAGTTCTTGTTCAGTTCTTGTTCAGTTCTAATTCAGTTCTAGTTTAGTTCTTGTTCAGTTCTAGTTCAGATCTAGTTCAGTTCTAGTTCAGTTCTAGTTCAGTTCTAGTTCAGTTCTAGTTCAGTTCTAGTTCAGTTCTAGTTCAGTTCTAGTTCAGTTCTAGTTCAGTTCTAGTTCAGTTCTAGTTCAGTTCTAGTTCAGTTCTAGTTCAGTTCTAGTTCAGTTCTAGTTTAGTTTTAGTTTAGTTTTAGTTCAGTTCTAGTTCAGTTCTAGTTCAGTTCTAGTTCAGTTCAGTTATAGTTCAGTTCTAGTTCAGTTATAGTTCTAGTTCAGTTCAGTTCTAGTTCAGTTCTAGTTCAGTTCTAGTTCAGTTCTAGTTCAGTTCTAGTTCAGTTCTAGTTCAGTTCTAGTTCAGTTCTAGTTCAGTTCTAGTTCAGTTCTAGTTCTAGTTCAGTTCTATTCTAGTTCTAGTTAAGTTCGAGTTCAGTTCTAGTTTAGTTCTAGTTTAGTTTTAGTTTAGTTTTAGTTCAGTTCTAGTTCTGTTCTAGTTCAGTTCTAGTTCAGTTCTAGTTCAGTTTTAGTTCAGTTCTAGTTCAGTTCTAGTTCTAGTTCTAGTTCTAGTTCAGTTCTAGTTCAGTTCTAGTTCAGTTCTAGTTCAGTTCTAGTTCAGTTCTAGTTCAGTTCTAGTTCAGTTCTAGTTCAGTTCTAGTTCAGTTCTAGTTCAGTTCTAGTTCAGTTTTAGTTCAGTTCTAGTTCAGTTCTAGTTCAGTTCTAGTTCAGTTCTAGTCCAGTTCTAGTTCAATTCTAGTTTAGTTCTAGTTGAGTTCTAGTTGAGTTCTAGTTGAGTTCTAGTTGAGTTTTAGTTTAGTTCTAGTTCAGTTCTAGTTCAGTTCTAGTTCAGTTCTAGTTCAGTTCTAGTTCAGTTCTAGTTCAGTTCTAGTTCAGTTCTTGTTCAGTTCTAGTTCAGTTCTTTTTTTTTTAAATATTTTCTTTTCTTTTTCTTTTTAATATTTAATCATACTTTTATCATCATTTTTTATTAAAAAACACTTTTTTCATTATTATGTATTAATATATTTATATTATTTTACTTATTTATTTAAATCTTTTTAAAAACACTTTATTTTTCTTGAAAACACTTTCCGTCTATTGTCTACGATACAAATTTGAAAACTATTCTTTTATTATCAACAACAACAAATTGCAAACCAATTTTCTGTCTTCCTTCTAACTAGTAACATAAATACCTAATTTTCCTTAAATTCAATTAAATATTCAAAATGTTTTATTGAATTTTTAATTGGTTTCGTTAATATTTTTCACTACATTCAATCACACTTTATTGATTTAAATAAAGTATAGAAAACTTAATAATGTGTGTCTGTTAAGACTTTGATTGCGGGAACAGTTTAAGTTTTCTTTGTTTCAAAGAAATTGAAACTATTATTTAAAAGGTGGAAGAGACAGTGTTGTCGATGGGAAAATTGTTTAAAGAGACAAGGGGTCAACTGTAAATTAGACTTTTTTAAAAGTTTTAATAGTTATTATCTTATTACAATAAAAGTTTAAAACTTCTTTAAACTTTTAGCAAAAAGAACACTTTCTGTTTAACAAAACATAATTTTATTGAATTTTCTTTTTCAATTTAACAATATCACATTTAAAATAACTTTTTGTAACAAATTAAAAATATGTTTAAACATACTTTCTTAACCACCTCTCTGTATTTGCTCTATAAGGCAAATAACCATGTATTTACTTCTATATATCAAGACAAATCCTTGGGAATGTTAACAGCTGCTCGTTGTCCATGTTCTCTATACAATGTTTACTGGGCAAACTAGTCTAGTAAAATATCCTCATATTCGTGCAAACTAAACGGCAATTGTATGTGTTTATTACCAGTTGTAATTAGTTGTAAAGACCGTATATCTTCGACATACGCTCCAGATACTCTAGATTTACCCAAATCCAATATTTCCAATTTTGGACAATTTTTACTTAACATTTCAATATAAACATCGTGTATCGATGGTGCTGGACATTTTATACGTAATACTTTTATATTTGGCATTTTTAGTTTAAAATAAAACGTATAATCCGGTCGATTATTCAAACGATTCGAATTATAGACATAGGCAAAATTATTGCTAACATCTATTTTTAATTGTCGTATATTTTCCTGATTAATGCGAAAGAATTGTTTGTATTGCTGCAGATCGAGTGGTTGTAAACATCTCATTTGGCTGTGAAGATCAGTGTATTTTTTAGACCAAATATATTTTGCAATCAAAAATTGAAAACGTTTACAGATTGTAGTAAGTTGTACTTGATCTTGGAGAGGTAACAGTTCGAATATTTGTAGGAGACAATCATCGTTTAGATTTGATAACATTATTTGGAGAAAATTGAAAGTTTAACTAGACATTGGAATAAATAAAGTTCACTTGACGACGATCACTTACTAATTGCAATTTTTGTTTTCAAGTACTTTGTATAAAACAGCTGTTGAATTAACCCTCAAATGAGCAAAAAAAATTTATTCAGTTTTAGAACTGAACTAGAACTAAACTAGAACTGAACTACAACGGAACTAGAACTGAACTAGAACTGAACTAGAACTGAACTAGAACTGAACTAGAACTGAGCTAGAACTGAACTAGAACTGAACTAGAACTGAACTAGAACTGAACTAGAACTGAACTAGAACTGAACTAGAATTGAACTAGAACTGAACTAGAACTGAACTAGAACTGAACTAGAACTGAACTAGAACTCAACTAGAACTGAACTAGAACTGAACTAGAACTGAACTAGAACTGAACTAGAACTGAACTAGAACTGAACTAGAACTTGAACTAGAACTGAACTAGAACTGAACTAGAACTGAACTAGAACTGAACTAGAACTGAACTAGAACTGAACTAGACGAACTAGAACTGAACTAGAACTGAACCTAGAACTGAACTAGAACTGAACTAGAACTGAACTAGAACTTAAAAAAAAACTGAACTAGAACTGAACTAGAACTGAACTAGAACTGAACTAGAACTGAACTAGAACTGAACTAGAACTGAACTAGAACTGAACTAGAACTGAACTACGAACTGAACTAGAACTGAACGAAAACTGAACTAGAACTGAACTAGAACTGAACTAGAACTGAACTAGAACTGAACTAGAACTGAACTAGAACTGAACTAGAACTGAACTAGACTGAACTAGAACTGAACTAGAACTAGAAACTGAACTAGAACGAACTGAACTGAACTAGAACTAAAAAAAAACTGAACTAGAACTGACTAGAACTGAACTAGAACTGAACTAGAACTGAACTAGAACTGAACTAGAACTGAACTAGAACTGAACTAGAACTGAACTAGAACTGAACTAGAACTAGAAACTAGAACGGAACTAGAACTGACTAGAACTGAACTAGAACTGAACTAGAACTGAACTAGAACTGAACTAGAACTGAACTAGAACTGAACTAGAACTGAACTAGAACTGAACAGAATGAACTAGAACTGAACTAGAACTGAACTAGGAACTGAACTAGAACTGACTAGAACTGAACTAGAACTGAACTAGAACTGAACTCGAACTGAACTAGAACTGAACTAGAACTGAACTAGAACTGAACTAGAACTGAACTAGAACTGAACTAGAACTGAACTAGAACTGAACTAGAACTGACTAGAACTGAACTAGAACTGAACTAGAACTGAACTAGAACTGAACTAAAACTGAACTAAACTGACTAGAACTGAACTAGAACTGAACTAGAACTGAACTAGAACTGAACTAGAACTGAACTAGAACTGAACTAGAACTGAACTAGAACTGAACTAGAACTGAACTAGAACTAGAACTGAACTAGAACTGAACTAGAACTGAACTAGAACTGAACTAGAACTGAACTAGAACTGAACTAGAACTGAACTAGAACTGAACTAGAACTGAACTAGAACTGAACTAGAACTGAACTAGAACTGAACTAGAACTGAACTAGAACTGAACTAGAACTGAACTAGAACTGACTAGAACTGAACTAGAACTGAACTAGAACTGAACTAGAACTGAACTAGAACTGAACTAGAACTGAACTAGAACTGAACTAGAACTGAACTAGAACTGAACTAGAACTGAACTAGAACTGACTAGAACTGAACTAGAACTGAACTAGAACTGAACTAGAACTGAACTAGAACTGAACTAGAACTGAACTAGAACTGAACTAGAACTGAACTAGAACTGAACTAGAACTGAACTAGACTAGAACTGAACTAGAACTGAACTAGAACTGAACTAGACTGAACTAGAACTGACTAGAACTGAACTAGAACTGAACTAGAACTGAACTAGAACTGAAATAGAACTGAACTAGAACTGAACTGGAACTGAACTAGAACTCAACTAGAACTGAAATAGAACTGAACTAGAACTGAACTAGAACTGGACCTGAACTGAACTAGAACTGAACTAGAACTGAACTAGAACTGAACTAGAACTGAACTAGAACTGAACTAGAACTGAACTAGAACTGAACTAGAACTGAACTAGAACTGAACTAGAACTGAACTAGAACTGAACTAGAACTGAACTAGAACTGAACTAGAACTGAACTAGAACTGAACTAGAACTGAACTAGAACTGAACTAGAACTGAACTAGAACTGAACTAGAACTGAACTAGAACTGAACTAGAACTGAACTAGAACTGAACTAGAACTGAACTAGAACTGAACTAGACTGAACTAGAACTGAACTAGAACTGAACTAGAACTGAACTTAGAACTGAACTAACTGAACTAGAACGACTAGAACTGAACTAGAACTGAACTAGAACTGAACTAGAAACTGAACTAGAACTGAACTAGAACTGAACTAGAACTGAACTAGAACTGAACTAGAACTGAACTAGAACTGAACTAGAACTGAACTAGAACTGAAATAGAACTGAACTAGAACTGAACTGGAACTGAACTAGAACTCAACTAGAACTGAAATAACTGAACTAGAACTGAACTAGAACTGGACCTGAACTGAACTAGAACTGAACTAGAACTGAACTAGAACTGAACTAGAACTGAACTAGAACTGAACTAGAACTGAACTAGAACTGAACTAGAACTGAACTAGAACTGAACTAGAACTGAACTAGAACTGAACTAGAACTGAACTAGAACTGAACTAGAACTGAACTAGAACTGAACTAGAACTGAACTAGAACTGAACTAGAACTGAACTAGAACTGAACTAGAACTGAACTAGAACTGAACTAGAACTGAACTAGAACTGAACTAGAACTGAACTAGAACTGAACTAGAACTGAATTAGAACTGAACTAGAACTGAACTAGAACTGAACTAGAACTGAACTAGAACTGAACTAGAACTGAACTAGAACTGAACTAGAACTGAACTAGAACTGAACAAGAACTGAACTAGAACTGAACTAGAACTGAACTAGAACTGAACTAGAAACTGAACTAGAACTGAAATAGAACTGAACTAGAACTGAACTGGAACTGAACTAGAACTCAACTAGAACTGAAATAGAACTGAACTAGAACTGAACTAGAACTGGACCAGAACTGAACTAGAACAAGAACTGAACTAGAACTGAACAGAACTTTAATAAAAATGAACTGGTACTGAACTAGCACTGAACTATAATCGAACTGAATTATTATTTGTCCCTATTTGTAGGTTGTATGGTTTATATAGTTCTCTTATCTGTAAAATACAACCCCGTTTAGTGGTGTATATAACTTATGCCCTTTTAATACAACCCTGCAGTTTATTATACTCACCTTAATTTCACCTAGTAGAGACACAAACCGTTTCCAACACACCAAACTTATCAACGTATTTTTACGCTAACTCAAACCACGCATGTCTTCGCGGTAAAAAATGTGTGTTTTATTTTTAAATTTCATAAATTTCAATTAAATCTAAAACAATGCTTAAGACCTGCCGTCAGTTTTTATTTAAAATCCCCCATATAATACACTTATTATGCTGGGTGTTTTGTATTATTACTTTTAGCTTGACTGTCTACACACAAAACGCTAAAGTGTTTTGTCATGTTACAATGTATGAAAAATGTCAATTAAAAATAATTTTGTTTTACTTTACTGGCGGTGGGGAACATTATTATTAAATATGTCAAAGAAAAAGCAAAAAAAAAAATATGAATGACATTTAAAAAGATTTATTTTTATTGTGAAAAGGGGAGAAGGGTTTTAAGGGAAGTTTTAAGGCTTGTTAAATTTGTAGAATTGTTACCAGGTTCTAAATAAAATAAAACATGTTTGTAATGATTTTTTTTAATTGTTTATTTACTGTTCTATTTTAAATAATTTTTATTCGTTTTCTTTATTACATGTTTTGTTATTAATTTTAATTGTATTTTTTTGTGTGTTTTAATGTTTTTAATTTTCTTTTCTAATTTTTAAATATAATTCCGTTTCTTTAAATGCTCTAATAAACTTTTAACTTAATTTCTGTATAATTTAATTTTTTTTTTTAAATTAATTTCTAACTTTTCTTTATTTATTAAGTTTAAATACTTTTATAATTTTTGCTTAGAATTTTAGGTTTTTCTTTATTCAAAATTAATTTTTATAGTTAGTGTTTTATTAATAATTAAATTTTCAAAAATAGTTTATGTTTTTTATGTTTAAACTAATTCTTGGAAGAGAAGAAATTTATTTTTTTTTATTAAATTTATTTTCATTAATGGATCACAAAGGTTTTATTTAGTAATTTTGTTTTTAATTTAAATTTTAAAATTAACTATACATTTTAGTAAGTATATGAGTATAATGTTTTATTAATTATTTTAAGTTTTTTTTCATATATTTTTTAAAAGAAACTTAACAATATTTACAAAGTATTTTTTTTATTATTTAAGGCTGGTAAGAAAGTTTTATTAAATTTTCTAGCAAATTTAATAAGTTATTTAAGTAACAAGTAAGAAAATACTTTAGTTTAATTAAATATTCTGGGAATATATTACAGTTTAACAAGTTTTTATTTAAAGAGGGTTTTTATGACTTCTTTACAGAATTTTAGTTTAGTTTTTAGTTATCATTATATAGTTTAGTTAATATTATTGCAAATTTTATGTTTTCTTCTAATTATTAATAATTTATAATTTTGTTTAATTGGTCCTTAGAATTCTACGTTTAAAACTTGTATTCCACTACTGGCATTTAGATTATTTATTTATATGCAAACATTTTAATCTTTTAATACTTTTATGTTTATTTATGTCTAATCAATTAAACATATTTTAACCATGTTTGTGTTAAAAACCACTACTTTTTAACGTAAACTGCTGGAAAAAAAAAACCTAAAAGTATGTTATATATATTTTCTATTTTTCATTTTATAATGGCTCCCAAAAGTAGGCCATAGAATTCGTTATAAGTTGCAGCTAATTTAAAAGTTTATGTATTAAACTAAAAGCATACTTT